GGCAGGAAAGTTGACCTTTGAAACCTTAATAAAAAATCGATACAGGGCTTTAGAATATCGATACAGTATCGGAAATGAAATATCGCGATATTTCAGTGTATTGATATTTTCTTACACCCCTAATGTTAAGAAATAAATTGGACAATAATCTGGTTATTTAGTGATATTTCTACAGTAGTGGTCTTGGTCTTGAAATAAAATTCAGAGTCCTCAATGTCGGAGAATGAGACAAGACCAAGTACAAATGCTGTTGAGTCTGAGACAAGACCAAGACCATCAAAAAGTGGTCTTGAGACTGGTCTCATTGTTACATGTATATGACCTCAGACTTCTTTATCCGTAAACTAAAGCAATGAGTCACAAACTTGGGTGAAAAAGAAAATTTTGCTTGAATAACTCAATTATTTAACACCTGAGGGCCTCGGTTTGTGTTGAAGATGAACATGTGTTGCTGTTAAAATATACATTTCTTTGTTTGTCCTCCTAAAGCTGTCGTRTGAAACCTGCTCCTCCTGCTGCAGGCTGGACTGTCTGTGCTTTATGGTCCGTGCAGGATGCTGTCCAACACGAACCCTCAGCAAACCAACTTAAAGTTGGACCAGCAGGTTCAGATGCACTGRAACAGTTTATTTTGATGGGAGGATGCTGGAGCAGTTCCACACAAAACGTGAGCGTCGATTTAAGCAGRAGCGTGAAAATCCAAACCAAACAGGCACAAAAGAGACGACAGAGCAGCAGGAAGGACTGTGGGGACAGGATGCCGCTGTGTTCTGATCATAAAACAGTGAGAAAACACGCAGGACAGGAAGGAGGAAGATGAAGAGTTGTGGAAGAAAAAGAAAAAAAAGAGCATCTCTGTGATGCTGATGCAGCGGGGAGCTGAAGAGAAGGCAAACGTTAAGAGAGAAGAGGAGACGAAAGGAGCAGCAGGACAGAAAAAAATAAACAAATTGAGCTGAGAGATGAGTTCTGCTGGGGAGGATGGAGAGTCCGAMACAGCAGGAGAGGAGAAGGGAAGCAGAAATACAAGCTGAAGAGCCAGGGAATAAAAATCCCTCTTTTTTTTCTGATCTGATCACAAAACCTCCACCTTCATTTTATTTATTCCTTTTAAACCTGCTTTCTTCTCATTTAAACACATAATAATCTGTTATGCATGTTAGACACAAACGCAGGGATGTTTCAAAGAGAAACAGAGAAACTTTTTACACAAGAGAAAGAAAATAGGAACTGAATGAGGTGACAGTAAAGACAGGTGAGAGGAGGGAAACAAATCTGAGATTTCTCCTAAATTCAGCGATTTTTTTATCAAATTTCTCTTCAATTTTAATAAGTAAAAAAGCACCCCTTCACTCACAGACAAGCAGTTTGGACAAAGAATTAACAAAACCAAACAACCTCTTTATTTAACTTTTTCTAGATTTACCCAAATTACCAGAAGTGTAAATATAATTGGAATAAATCAGCCTGGCGCGCGCACAGMAAGGTTGTCTCTCCGGGTCTGCCTGTAGCCCCACACAAGCTTGGTCCTCCGGGGAAAGTAAAGATCCGCCTCACCTTGTCCTGTTGTCCCACACAGGCAGAGCAGAATCCAGCCTAGCCGAGGAATAATCCCACAGACTCTCTTAATCCCCATATCCTTGGTGGGAAAAACGGGAGGCTGCAGAGAGAAGTCTGCTGCTGCTGCAGGAGGAGAGAGGCAGAAGAGCTCTCCTCTCCAGCTCCGAGAGAGATCTCCTCCAACCCGACAGAGGAGGAGAGGAGGAGGAGAGGGGGAGGAGGGAGCGCGCGCTGCGCACCGGTTCCGTTTTGTTGCGCATTCAGCTGCTGCGGGTTGCAGTCTGCACCAAACCCTTTAAATCTGCAGCTGCAGGCAAAATATTTAGAAAAAATAAAGGCAGATKTGGCATGAATGCATGAGCAGAGTAACAGACATTTACTTTGTTACAGCACTTTTTTTCTTAAGATTTGTAATTTTGCCAAGTATATTTTTTTACTTTTACTTTTTTTTAACATTCAGAACATTGACATTTATCTCTTTACTTTCAAATTCAGCACCTTGTTACCCACTATAACATTTAAATATGAGCGGAACGCTTCATGAATAGAGTTGGTTATGCTCTCAAATGTAAATAAATGTAAATAAAATGCAAATAAATTTAAAACAATCTGCGCTTTTTGAAAATGTCAATTTTTTCAACTCAGTTTAGTGAAACCAGTTTGGTTCAGTAAATTCCAAACTTAGTGTGTAAAAGTACTTTTACTTTCCTGATTACTGATGTATGACTTTTACTTAAAAATATCAGTGAAATTCATTTTTACCTATAAACCTGTCTCTGTTAAGGTAGTTTTACCCTTGAAATGAGTCACAGACATTCTGATCAAACCTCATAAAGYCAAATAAAGTTAATCAGCTGCAGCTCATAGGATTGGATTTGGAAAAGTTCACTTTCACTTGAATTTTTTTGGAACACGAGTGATAAAACAGGTTACAGCTCACTCAGTGATGTCAGATTTACACACACATGTGTGAGAAATAAACCAGAGCGAAGTTCCCTTTGCTTTCAATCCAAACCAAGTTACAAAGAAATCCTATGTTTCATTTCAAAGTCCTGGCTCCTAAAGTTAGGGGTGGGCGTATCACTTTAAATATCTTCAGTATCTGTATTGGATCGAGGGTGATGAGATCGATGCTTTTGTTTCCACAGCTGATGGTTTTGTTTGGAGTCATTAGTCCTCTTTGTCCACATGCAATGGAGGGAATTGTTTTTATTTGTTATTGATCATTATGTTATTGTTACATTGTTGTGTCTTATTTTGCACATTGTTTTATTTTAATACATTATTTTTATTTGACTAAAATCTTTGTGGTTTATCATGTTGACTAACTAAAAGTAAAATCATTAAATTATTCAATGAACATGACAAGTATCAGTATCAATATTGGTATCAGTAACAATACTGGTATTTGTATTGATATCAGTATAAATAT